ATACTCCTGCCTTGTCTGCTTTTAATGACGTCATCAAAACGGCAGACTCTTAAATGTAGTACCTAAATTCTGCCACTAGATAGCAACAACTGAACACTTCCATAGTTTAAACCCGTGAAATGTCAACATACCGACATACAACAGCACACTGCTCATCATAAAGGAAATGAGAACATATTGGTCTCAAACTATTTTTACTTAAAGGAACAAATGTATAAATAAAAAAGCAACACAAAATATCATGTGTATTTTTAATGGGACATTAATTTCCAATATTTTATATCAGCTGCTCACGTGGCGCAAAAAGTGGGTATGCAGGCATGCAACGCATAGGGGCGCTGCACCAGAGGGGGCGTACAAACCCCGTCTAGAGGGGGAGGCACCCCAATGATGCCTTCGCATACACTTCACTGCGCCCTTACGCTCCTTCACCTCGCGCACATGCAAATGTAAATGTAGCGAGTTTTAACTTTCACGTGTCTTCGTCTCGGGGGGTAGAGCGACTGTATTACGTACCTTCCTTTGGGGGGGCGCCGATTTATGTTTTCGCATCCACCTGAATAATATGTAGTTGCACCCCTGCAGCTGCTGTTTGTTGCTCCTGTTAACAGTTTTAAAATAACTGATTCCAAACTAAGCACTTAATTTTATGTTTTCAAATTTAGTCAGTACAAATCATAATCACAAGTACCTTATAAAATTGACATTTACATTTATTGTTAAATTTATTCTAAATATAATTTACAATGTATGATAAAACTGCTGCCTAAACTGATGCATTAAATTGAGCAAGGGCTTTTCCTTTTCTCAAAAGTTAACTTCTCCTCTGTCTTCCCATTGATGCAACACCATTAGAAGTATCAACACCATTTTTGCTGGTGTCTTCTTATGTTTTATCCTTACTCATAATCGGATATGATTTCAAAGAGTAACTTTAATCAAAACAAATTCAAGTAAAAGTAAAAGTTCAGGTTTTATAAACAACTTAAGGTTATATACAGTAAATCTTTTTTTTTTTTACATTGTGAAGTGCTTATAGGCTACTTTCTGCATTATCCATACAAGTGACTTTAGTACTTGTATGTACTATCGCAGCCATCGCTCCATCCTGTGCAGAGTTCCTCAAGGACTGTGTTTTGACTGCTTCCAAATCGAAACATAAATATAAAAAGATTTATGTTTTTATTTGTCTTGGTTTGCAAAATGAGCCCTTCAAAGATCTGTTAAGCTAGCTAGGCTTTTAGATAGCCTTGTATAAAATGTATTCATTTTATACAATCAGCTGAATATAACAGTGTTGCATAATTATTTGGAGTGAACTGGCCTTTATGGAATTGAATCTGAATGTGACTACACATAGCTAGATGGTAATCAAGCTATAATTTGAACAGAATTTTTACTCAGTTGGATTTCATAGAGATTGGATATGATGTGCTTCTGCTCACATTTGAGACAGGTGGAATGGTTTTCAAAAAATACATTAATTTTGTGCTGAGGGTAACATTTTAAAATCCCTAAGTTTCTCTTTTGGACTATTGATAAAACATGTAGAAAGATGCCGGAGAATCATGGGAAATGTAGTTACAGACTGTGAAATTAGCTGCAGTGGCAAGTGACATCGCCGAGGACTGGGCTTTGTTCCCACTCCAATTGCTGCACAATCCGTTAGGTCTGCCTCCCTGTCAGAGCTCCAGGGAGAACATAGAGCTGGCGTCATCCTTTCGGCAAACCAAGAGAAGGAAGGGGGAGGGTAAGACAGCAATGGGTAGGAGAAGGAGGGTGCTGTGTGTTTCTACCGCATCAGCGCCAACATCACTGCCTTCGTCACCGGAAAACAACAAGGACTGACTAGCTGAGACTAAAGAGAAAAAATACTGTTAACAGTAGCAAATCTCTTTCCATCAGATACGGATTCCCACATTAGGCCACTGCGTCTTCACCTTCCTTAGCCAGAGGCATCATCTCCCGAGAGAGAAAGAGGTCTTCTAGGCATGCCTTGAGAAGAGAGGACAACAGCCATCGCTCCATCCTGTTAAGATGGGAAATCAGGAGGCAAAGCAAAAGAGAGCAGCGGTTTCATCGGGTAATGGAAGCTACCCTTCGCTAAATGAAGGATGGAGGGAAGGAGGAGGGGATTTGACAAAAAGGGGGGGCAAGAAACTCAGCAAGCAGGGAGGTAAAGGAACAAACAGCAGTGGAGGAGGAGGGATTCATGGCACTGGACCAGGAAAAAAACGAAATAAATCTGACTCCAAGTCCTCCGTTTTTTCCCTCCGAAAAAGAAAGATAAACCTGAAAGGCTCATCAATACCAGGTTTAAATGAAGATGATTGGGCTTCTCAACATGATGATCTGGACAGCACCAAAACACCTGACCTGTCTGCAGATGAGCTAGGACACTCAGATTCTGAGGCTGCATTTCCTGAAAAGAGAAAGAAACCAGAACAGGAAAACAGGAATAAAGACAGAAGAGAAGAGGAAAAGTCACACGTGCAATTGAAAGCCTCAGCAGAAACCACATCACCCACAGAAGAAGCAGGACCAAAGGGGGGTAGCTCAGGATCGGACACTGATATATACAGTTTTCATTCAGCCGCTGACCATGAGGATTTACTTGCAGACATCCAGCTTGCTATTAGGCTACAGCATCAGCAGCAATATGATGGGGAGAACGCAATCTCAGAGGTACATGAAGGTGGAACGGGGGACCTGAATTGGAGAGCAGCAGAGGAATGGACTAAGAAAAGTAATGGGGTGGACAAAGAAACTCATCAGGAGGTGGTTGGTATGACCCCAGAATTAGAGGTAGGCTCTGATGCACTATCATTCCTAGAGACAGAAAGTCATGTTTCTGTCAATCCCACAGACTCGCTTCCAAATCTGTCAAGTAGCGAGACACACCTGTCCTTTCACACAGAGATAAAGGGACAGGGGGAGGTCCAGGAAGGGCTGGGTCCGCCAAAGTTAAGTACGAAGAAGATGAGAGAGGGTCAAGCCTTTCTTTGTATTGCTACAGACCAGCATGTGGACATTTCCATGGCAACTGGAAGTGTGACAGTCAGCCCAATCACTATGGCAACCTGTGACAATTGTTCACCTATAGTCTCAAGTGAAGGGAAATGTCTTGGAAGGATGGAGGAAGAAACGTTCAGTCCCCCTCCAGTCAGCAACAGTAAAAGTACTGAACATGCAGAAAGACTTAGCTCAAGAGTTGTGTTTGATGAAGGTGATGGTCAGTTAGGCTCAGGCACCAGTGTAGAGTCCCTCGAGGACTGTGTTTTGACTAGTTCCAAATCCAATCAATGTGATGCTTCCTGCAATGGTTCCTCACCCTCTGACCAGCTCTGCAGCAGGGGCAGCATCTGCTTTATCACACTGACGCCCCAGGGAAGCCCAAAGTTGGCAAAGCAGCTCTTCAAGTCCACCCATTCCTCCAACTTTTATAGCCATGTGGTGAAATCCTACCCCACTATCTTTCCATCCTACATCAAGACCACTACGCGACAGCTCAGTACCCCAGGACACTCCCCAGCTTTATCTCCTTCCCACAGCCCACTTTCTCCACGGAGAGCCCATCTTCACAATCGCAGGTACATATACTACTCCTCATGCTCGTCATTTAATGTTTTTTTCATACTTGTACTCCATTTTGTGTTTTTACAGAAAATTATCCCAAAAATTAGACTGCAGATTTATAATCTAATTATTAGTTATTTATACAAAGTAATGTAACTGAAACAGAATTAAACAGATTTTCACAATTATCTTAGGATGCAATCTTTTAAGCTATGGAATAGGCAAACAATAATTCACATCGTCACTTCATTAACTGTACATCAAATTGTTTCTAATAATGACATTTGAGAAGATTAACAAAATCAAATTCAAAAAATACTTTGAGATCCCAAAGGTAAAGTAAATGTTGTAATTCATTAAATCTTCTTCACAATTGCTGTAGATTGTGATGGTTGTTGGCAGGAAAGATCTGTAGAGGTCTGTACTACAACAAATTTGAAGAAGCCTCTGACTGAAGACACTCTGTTTTTCCAACACAGTTTTATGAAGAGGATGGTCAGGCTTGTCCATAAAGTTCTTGATTTTATGGTGAATCCTTCTTTGGATCATCATCTTCAGATGATTTTTTAACAAATTAACATTAAAAAAAGCATGTAAAAATTATGTTTTTCTTGTGAACAAAGGGATAACTAGTTACAGAAAAGTTAAGCCCACCCAGTTGTATTATCAACAATCTTATCAGTCTGGCTGAATAATATATCATGTTTTTCTATCAGTTTCAAATCTATCAGTAATCAGTCTACATGGCAACTGACTTATGGAGTCCTGATCAAATACTTGATTGAATGGAATGAAAGTGTAGGATATTTGTCAGAGGTCATCTGAAAGGTGCTGGAAAAATGCACGGTACAAGGTCATAGCAAGAATGTTAATTTCCATGTTCGGTCTCTGGGCAGGAGAGCTGTTGCCGTGCAGCAAGAAGGTTCTGGGTTCGATTCCCGGCCCCGGTCTTTCTGCATGGAGTTTGCATGTTCTCCCTGTGCATGCGTGGGTTTTCTCCGGGTACTCCGGTTTCCTCCCACAGTCCAAAAAACATGACTGTTAGGTTAATTGGTCTGTCTAAATTGCCCCTAGGTGTGTGTGTGTGTGTGTGTGTGTGCATGGTTGTGTGTCTGTGTTGCCCTGCGACAGACTGGCAACCTGTCCAGGATGTACCCCACCTCTCGCCTGGAACGTTAGCTGGAGATAGGCACCAGCACCCCTCCCGACCCCACCGAGGGACAAGGGTGTTCAGAAAATGGATGGATGGATGGATGGAATTCATAACTGCTTGCTTTGTGAAAAATGAGAGTCTGCTTTATTTTGCTCAATTAGTATTTATTTCCA